ACACAGTTTCCTGATGCCTGTGCTGCCAAGAACATCTGCCGGCCAAGCGTCTCCGAGCCTTGACGCCATGAGCGCACCGAAGGGATTGCGTGGACTTCAGCGGCATCTGCCGGATATACAGCTTGAGCCACCAAAATGGCCGCGACAATCTTGGTTGTCACGCCGAAGACAGGAGCACTTCGAAGCGGGCATCTGCTACCTTGCCGACCTCCTAACAGGCACCGACAGCCCGCTCCACCTCATAGCTGTTCGTGGTCCCAGACACCACGACCATGGCCGGGGCAACTAGGCACTGTACAACCACTGTATGTCTCCTCAAGTCTCGTCTCACCTCTTGAAAACCAGCACCCTTCCAAGACTGTGACCCCTTTACACCCTTTGTTTCGACGGGCATGGCCAGCACCGCCGCAAGTCGCTGCATCACCGTCGCTGCGAAGAAACCCATCATAAGATCAACACAACGTGTCCCGTTGATCTTCTGACTTGCACGGCTTTTTGGTGCTTGAACGTTAGAACTACCTCAGACCTGACGGAACAGCATGCATCCGCTGAGACACCTGCGCAAGTCACAGACGCGCCGCGACAAAAAAAAAACAAACAAAACCGCGGGAGCCTTTTCACACAGGAACAGACAGTCTCGAATGTTGGCCAACACGGACCGCCTTCGCAGGGCTGGATCCTCAAGTGCCAGGACGCAGGGACTCGGGCCTCGGGCAACGAGGCTCCTGCCCCCAGCTCTTTGTACACAACACTCCAACATCGTCACCTGATATCCATCGAGTTTGCAAGGCTGCGCGAGCAAGCTCAGCAACACGCTATGGGTGAAAGTGGATGGACCGCAGGCGGCCTCTGTACAGTGTACCCGCGATGGTTCCAGTTCGTGGGAGGTCTTTCTGCCGAAGCGTTCTGAAACCAGTCTTGCCGGACATGACAAGCCGAGGAAGTAAGTTCGCGCTTTGTTTTCGGAAAGAACTCCCCTGATTCTCCGACGCAGCCGCTCAAGCAAAGCTGATGCCTCTTTGAGACGCTGCGCCGCTTTGTGTTTCACGAAGTTTAGACGATCCCAAGGGATCCTTTTGGGTCCATTTCATCGGAAACACGACGACAGTCAAGCACCGCTGTCAAGTTTTTTGGTCAAAGGACTCATCACACGGAGCTGTGCTGCCGTGGGCCACAACTTCTGCACGCAGAACATGTTTATTTGGCAGCTGGGTGCTAATCTGGGTGCTAATCGGAACTGCTCTATTTACGATTCTGGGCTTCTCGATGCAGGCTTCTCCGCAGCTGCATGCCTTGAGGTGGCTTCAACCACAAGCTGCAGGCCAAAAACCAGCTCTGCAGGATGTGGTCGACACCCAAGGCGTCGAAGCGGGGCATCAATGCAAATCTCCTGCTCAAACACGGATTTACCACGGCTTGAAAAATCGCTGCCGGCTCTGGTCCTGGGCTTGCGGACTCCAAAGCACTGCAGTACAGGATGCGCTTTTTCATTCTGGTGGTTATGATAAGTCCCACTTCAGGGCGCAGAGTCCAGCAAAACAGGACAGCTCAAGGGCTCGCAACGCAACTCTCAATCTAGGAATGCTGTAGCTGCAATTCTTAGGACTCTACGGCTGGAATTATCACAAAAGACTGCTGCTTTTGTATGACAAAACAAAGAGGCGACTCACTGAGGATGAAAAACTCGTCCCTGGCACAGGGTAGCACAGCTTGACACGATGTGCTGCAGAGCACCGCCTTTTGGTCCGAATGACATCACAGCTGCAACAGGGTGATAGAAACCACAGGAAAATCGATCCCCCGAATACCGAAACGAGGCATGACAGCATTTGCGGATCTGCCTGGGCCCAGCTCATTGAGTGGGTTTCTGGGCCTCTGCCTCGCACAGGGGAGCTCTAAAATTCGCTTGACAGCCGACTGTTAGCGCTGGTGGTTGCAACTCCAAGCTCTACACGGCTTTGTGGATCCAGCGCGTGCAGATCACGGTCAGACGATCAGTAGGGCAGCGACCCAGGCTGGGATGAGTTTTCGTCGTAGTTCAGGATCCATCAACGCCTGGCTCGTCACTACATAAAGCTACAATCCATGCCCCGTCTCATGTCGACACAATCTGGTCATGTGGCGCGAATGCAGTAAGGGCTGAGGTCCCTGCAACCTCTTCCTTCGCAAAAGCGAACAAGTGCTCCGGCAAGGGCTTGGTGCCTGAGCAACAAAGAGGCTCGCAAATGCACTGGGAGGCTGAAACCGACGTATTCCCGCTCCCCTCAAGCTTGACGAGATGGCTGCACTAGTTTTGTAGGATAACAGTTCCTGTTGGGAAAGCCAGCTGCTGCTGATGCGTGTGTTCTGGTCACGGAGGTCATCGAAGAGCGCATGGGTACAGCACCTCGTTCGATTCGTGTTCGCACATGTGTCCCTGTGAGCAAGCCGAGGGATGGGCTGAAGCCCAGATGGCCGCATTTTCGGGTCATAAACCTGAAGTTCGTGGCATCTCACCCACAACCCTCCGCAAGGCAACTGACAGGGCCGTGGCCAACAGCTTCGAGATGTAGTCGACAGCATCTGCCGAAGTTCGGGCCCGAAAGACCTAGTGAGCCCAGCACGCCCGCCGCGTGAAACATGCTGGCTTAATCTTGCTCTTTGCAGAGTGAACCGAGCTCACCGAGCCAGCCGGCCTTGTGCCACGGGTGCGGCTTAATCTGCGGGAACTTGAACCTGGGGTCACTGAGCCATCTCAAGCGACCATGACTGCGACATCAAGTCTAAAGCACAGGCTCACAATACTGTTTTGAAGCTGTTGCCGCTCTCAGCTCTCCGTCTCGGCTCACCTTCTGGCTGCTTGTGGGCGTGATGGCCCTTCTCGTGGCTAAGCCGTGGCTCTGCGCGGACCTGCAGCCCGGGACTCCGACAGAAGCCCAGGAGACTGGTTCGACCTCTTGCGCGATCTTTCCACGACTGGCCACCATCCGGAACGCTTCCCTGTCCTTGACCACCAGCCACTAGATGACGCCAGGGTCTTGCATCGTCGTTTCAGATTCATCCTCGCCACGCTGATTCTTCCACAGGAGGCGGCAGCTCCCAATTGCCTCCGTGCGGACCTTCGCTTCCGAAGCTGTGTCGTTTGAGCAGTTCGTTCTGTTTCAGCCACTTCTGTGCCAATGACTCGTCCACCTTGCGGAAGGCCGTAGAGTATCTATGTTCAGCTTCAGCTATGTACTTGCGAAGTTCTTCAGGTCCTGTATCAGGCCCGTACATCGCCAGAAAGCACCGGTACAGATTGAAGGAATTTCTCTCAACCTTGACTGCGAGGCCAGCATAGGCAGGAGGGCTTCGATTTCCTGTGTTTGCTAGGAACAGTGTGACAAGCAAACACCAGCAACAAAACAGCATACTCTATTGCCTCCTGTCAACGTCTTCAAAGTAGTCCACAAGGTCATCCCCAATCTCCACAAGAATCTCAGATGTTGCCAGAAAATTCATGTGTTCCTCGTTTGGCTCTTCACCTCTCATGATATAGAGCAAAAGGTTCATGGTACGATAGTCGAATGACTTCAAGCGCAGAGCTTCTTCCACATCGCAGCGGTTGATGGAATTCTCTTCACGCTGAGCTTTCGGTGTGGCGAGCGCGGTGCAAAGCTTTCGCTCGAGGGCCCAGAACCGTGCACCTTCGTGCAGTTCTCGGTCCAGGCGTTCCGTGAGCCACCGCCGTTCGCGAAGGACTCCTCGCAAAGGTCCGAAGGGATCCTCGACGGACGGAGCAGCATCCGATGTTGGCAAAGGTCCCTCTCGCGGAAGCAAGCGGTCCTCGTTGGCCTGATCTAGACCGTAGATGTGGCTCTCCACAAAGCCCAGGATGGGAAGGTACTTCAGAACATCTCGCGTGCTCTCCGGGTTCAAGCCGTGGAACATATAGTAAGAGTTGACGAAGTCTTCCAGGGCCGACTGTGCCAAGTCCACCCCTTCAATCGACACCTCGCACTTCTGGTCACAGAGCCTTCCTGCTTGGGGGAGCGTGGTCTCTGAGCACAAGGACACGAGATTGCTCAAGTTAAGCTCCCCGACAAGGTTAAAGAATCGCCGGAGAAGGCCAAGCCGCTGCAAGGTTTCCGACCCGAAGGCACTCTGCAGAGCAAGGATCACGGCTTGAAGGGTCTCTGCCAAGAGATCCTGCTCCTCCTTCGACGCAGCCCAGGTCTCCTGGAGTATCCGGAGCAAGGCGCTTTTCCGCTGGAGGGCCTTCAGCTGCTCCATTGCACCCGAAAAGAGCCTCTCTGCTAGCCTGAAGCCCTTCGTCGTCTTTGGCTGCGGTTCTCCAGACATGTCAATGGAAGAGGCTCAGGCTAGCCGCCCAAAGCCCTTCTTGTGCCAACTGCAGCTCAGGGGCTCCGTGTAGTTGGGGTTCATTGCCATGAGCTCTTCTCTCGTTGGAGTCCCCAGCACCTTCGAAGCGCACAGAGCATTGCAAACTAAAAGCACTGCGCTTAAGAGAAATATGCATGTGGGGACGGGCCCTGCCTTGATGATCTCCACGAGCTGATCGACACCACTCTCCCCTGGGAAGATGGGATGGCCCAGGATCAACTCAGCCTTGCACAGAGAGAACGAGCTGCCCAAGCAGTTTCAAGCAAGCCCGAGCCGAGCGTAGAGCTGACACACAAGCCATCGACCAGATGTCGATCACCTGCCAAAGGGGGCAACGCCGAAAGTCGTGCAAAGTGTGCGTCGGCTGCCGGCCGAAAGCTGAAACCCTTTCAGCAAAGCCCCCGACGAATCCATAGTCTGTGGCACCGAAAATCAACTCGGGCGCTCGGTAGTAGCGCGAGCCTCAGGCAAGCTTTAGCAACACTGCCACCCCGCAGCACCCGAAAAACGACACAAAAAGGCAAAGCAGCGGGAGTACAACGCTCATGTGTAGCTTACCGATGCCAACATCTGCAAGGAACGGCCAATGCTTCCAAAGCTGCCAAGGCACAAATGTATGCGACGTTGGGCTCTCCCTTCACTAGAGGTTTTGCTGAGCCGAAGTCGCACACTTTGAGGGCATGCGTGTGACCTGGGGTGACGCTCCTTCTGCTGCGACATCCGACGCGCTCAGCGACTCAGTGTCCCGAGGCCACAGCCGTCCACCAGAAGGTTTTGAGGCTTGATGTCCCGATGGCATATTCCAACGGCGTGGATATATGCCTGAACCGCTCGAGCTGAACGACTGGCGCGACCCTGTGGAGTATCAATGCCATCAGGGGGCACAGGCACGAGCCATCTGGTAGGAGTAGAGCTGGACGAAGATGTGAGGCACTGGCCTGCAGCCAGTGGCGCATCGAATTTGCATGTCGCATGATTGGTCAAGACTCGGGCGTGTGCGAGGCTTGGAGGCTGGAAGCGATCTAAAACAGCTTGACAAGACAACTGGGCCGCTTTATCCAGTAAACTGCTCGCTTCAAGAATCTTCTGAACGGGCCTCGCATCAAAATATTCTCCTCTCTAAAAATGGGAGGAAGATGGGAAAGTACAATGCTCACAGCCGCCCTGAGCAGCTTCGACAGGCGTTGTCTGGTTTAGTAGAGACAACTAAAATGCGCCCAAGATGGACAAGCACCGCCATTCTCCAGCAAAGCGGCTGCTTCATCTTCGTGTAGTGCTTCATGACCTCCCCCAGTCCCAGCAACGCTAAGAAGTGACCCCTCGAAAGCCATCAGTGGCTAAGAGTCGCGCTCGATAGACGGTGTCGGAGCAGTACTCCATCACCACCTCCAGCACCACCAAATTGCTGATACATGTGATGTTGCAAGGTTGTTTCAATCTGCACTTGTCCGCACCCAGACAGCCAAGTTGCATTCAGGTAAGTCTCACCAGGCTTCTCGCCTGAGGTATAGAAGGCCTCGGCAAGGGAACGAGACATGCGTTGCTCCGGAGAGGGCCTGGCATGAGCCCCGGGCATGCTTCAGCTCCACGACATTGGGGTGTCGAAGTTCCTCCCGAGTCATTCGCCTCCCCTGTGCCAGCTATGTTAGTGTCGCGGCACAGCCTTCATGATCTGCAGCTCGCGGTTCTTGTACCTCTTGTCCTGGAAGACCTCTTCAAGAGATGCACACGCGAGGGGCAGCTCCCTGGGCTTTCCACGAAGATCTGCTGGCCTTCTTGATGGCGACCTCGCATGCTCCAAGCTTGTGAAATTCAAATGCCGAGGGCAAAATTGTCCATGTGTAAATACCCTAGGCCCGCTGCCGACTCTCCCGTTTCGACCACAACGGCCTCGAGTCACTCTTGGCACAATGCCGTCTTCTTGTCCAAAGCTCCAAAGGTCTTCGGCCTGGTACACGACACCAAAGGAGCCGCTGCCCAGCACGCGCTCGGCATTGTACGTGTAAGACTTCTTGGTCGTCCTCAGATGCAGCAGAGCCCGAGCGCAGGAAGAGCTGGAACGGTCAGTCTCGGCTCTTCAAGCAAAGCCCTGACAAGGAGCTCGTCGGTGCTCTTGGTCGGCTCCACCTTCATGTTCTGGAACGCGTTCTGCACCTGCACATGCCATGCATGCTCCCGTCAATGGAAGAAAGCTCTCTTGGCCGAGGCTCTGCTCGCAAGTCATTTGCATCACCTCAGCAGGGAAACAGTCCGTCCCTCTCCGTCCCTGGCTCCCAAAGTCTGTCTGTGCCAACTGCTCTTCTGCGCGGACGACATCGTGCGTCACCTTAAACCTGTCGTAAGAGCAGAACCCTGTCCGGTCAGACATGCCTGAACCAAACACAAGGTGAAAGCGCCTGGGCGCAGATCGGCACGATCACACGTGGGTAACCGTATGAGCGGCTACGTTTATGCTACCACCAAGCTACACGATTGTGGCGAGCCAAGTCGGGCGTCATGAAGCTGGAGCTTTTTTTTGCCTGCTAGAGAGGTATCTTCTCGACCAAAACGGACACAGAACAAAAAAACTTTGAGTTCTAGTGTGTGTTCATTTAGCCTACACAGACACGCAGGCAAGCGGAGGCAAAGACGCTCTCACTCTTTGCGCGGGTGCTGCTCAGAACTGTAAGTTGCACGGCGGGCAGGCAGAGCTAGATGAACGGCTTTGCTACATGTAGTTTGTGCAAGCAAGAATGCAACTACGAGAAATGATGGCATGAGCAAAGGAAAGATGAAGCGAGGCACCTGTACTCCCCAACCACCGTGCTGTCAGACTATTGAAAGCATATTGGGCCATGCGACCGTTCCCGGCTTCTGATTACCATCATTCGGACTTGCTATGCATTCGTCTCTGAGCCATCGCATGTTGGGAGAGCCGACCCAGCCGCATGTGGCCAACACAGACGAGGCTCGCAAAGGTTTGCCGCTCAGGCTACAAGTAGTGTAGGCAAGTAGATCAGGTAGTAGAGCCAAGGTCAACGGAGGGCAGAAGCATGAACGGAACCGTAGACATCGGGCATAACTGACGACAGCTTAGCCACATGCACATTTTGCCCCGTGGCGAGCTCAACTTCCCCTGCTGCCACTTGCAGAACGAGGCGATGCAAATTTGAGCTTTCACGACCAGCGTGGTCTGAGAATCGAATTGCTTCTAATTGCGTTCCTGCACAGTAAGCAGGTGTCCAGCATTCTCCTGCACACCCGTATCGTCAGTCATTGAAGCCACTGCTCAGGAGGCACGCTCCCGCAGGAAAGCTGTGGACCAAGCAAAACAGGCTAAGAAACTTGATGACTCGGCAGCTTTGTCAAACAAGACGACCTGGGTACCAACGGCCTGTTCGCCCTCCTAGCTGCAAGCTCCGTCTATGCTCATCGCAGCGATACTGCGCGAAGCGTGATGCAGCCTGCAACTCTTCAAGCGAGAATCTTTCCTGCGAAAGCCACTGCCTTCGACAGTTGGATTGAGATCGGCGGGTGTTCAAGGACTTCGTAGATGGCAGGCACTCCTCCGCTAAAGAATTGAAAGAGCTTCGCCTCTTCCAGAGGCAACTCTGCACTCCACTTGGGCTGCGCCCCTGTGCACAACAGGTGCAAAGATGTAGCACCAAGCCACGTACTGCCTTGTCCGTCTCCCCGTTTGCTCTTGCAGGTCGCCCAGGTCGTACACAGTTTGCAGGCGTCTTGCGAGTTTTCTGGCTCTTGTCTTCCAACACCGTCTCCGTCGGTGTTGACTCATGTCGAAATTCGCCAGAGTTGGGGGAGCTAAAGCTCAAAAGGCTGAGCTCCCGGAGATCGTCCAGGCTGGACAACGACGATGTTCGACCTCAGGGTGCGGGCCGTGGGCAGCCTACACGGGCCTACAGCCGTTACAATGAAGAATTTCTTGCAGCGTAGCAACTGTTCCAAACATCCATCGGGCTCAGAGGACTACGGTCAGCCTCGGCGAAAACTCCTTTGGGGTGTCAGGGTCTGTGGAACGACATGGACTTGAGCAGGAAGATGGCTCCAGCACTGCTCTCATGCGATCCTCCTGCCCCATCGAAGTCCAACTGCCGTGCCACAGCGGGAAGTGCGCCTCGATTTCAGTAGCATCACTGCTGTATTGTGCTCTTCTTGAGGCCGCTGACCTGCACTGCCAATTAGCCTTCTGTGCAGGCGAAGCTCTTGGTCTCGAGCTGGACATTCCGGAAGCACTCGGCTGCGTTGCCTCAGTTGCACGGTCGAGCAGAGTCAGCGTGAGGTGTTGAAAAAATGCAACACATTGCTCGCGGCCGGTGGGGCATGTGAATTGTGATGATTTCTGCCAGGATATGAATGTGCTGAGAAACCCCCCCGCGCAGTACAGCAGAGCCCTGATCCCTGCATGCGGCACAGTTTTAGTAGTACAGTAGTGACTACTGTAGTGACTAGTTTTTCCTGAGGGCAGCACTTCCGCTGCCGGCACGCTCGCATCACACACACGCGGATCCTGGCCAATACATAAATCGATGGTGGATCTGGCGCCGGAAGCTCAATCCGGCAGCTCCTCGCGACCGAAGCTGATGGAGGTTGCCATGGAGAAAGCCTCGCTCTCACGAGTACTCGCCTGGATGTGCGCAGGTGGCAGGGATGCACTGCAAGCACGCAGCGGAGGCATCATGGACGTTGAAGGCCTCTGCCAGCGCCCAAGAAACCGGCTTTGCTGGGCTGGAAGGCTCCGTGGCGGCTTTGAGGTCCGTCCTCCGTCATGGTAGGCACAAAAGACACTTAGAATACCAAGGCGGTCAATGTCACGTAGGCGTGAAGACCGAGCACATAATGCTCCGAGACTCCACAGAGGCGTGCGACGCCTCCATGAGTGATCCTCAAGCTTGCAGCGATGCCTATCTGCATACCATGCCCGCAGGACGGAGAGTAGTGAAGCTGAGTGTGTGCACGATCCGGTGGACAAGACATGCACTCTTCATCCAAGTTACTGAACCTCGAGCCGTGCTTCGGGACATGGTCGCTCCTTCGAAATTTTGACGTGCTTCAGCTGGCATGAACAGACAGCAGCAAAGACAGACAGGTAGGCGAACCAACAGATTTATACAAAATGAAAACGTTGGCATAGGACAGGATTTTTCACACGGGACTCGACTGCTGCCGTTACTGGCATAGGACAGGATGGATAGGATACTTCGGGTACGAAAGGATGGGATGGAGCACGCTCTCATCCACCCAACCTCTGTTTCCAAGCCTTATTTCCACCAGCCCTCTACCACCTAGGAATTAATGAGATCCCCAGACTCTTCATTGACAGAGCAAATCGGTAATTAAATCAAAGCAATGAAAGAAATGTAACCAAAATGAAGCTTCATAGTGTCTGTGATTGATTTGACCTTTTTACCTTGCACTTGCTCACCTAGTTAATAACTTCATTACATTAAACTATGAGCGATGCGAATGGAAAAGGGCCAAATCTAATATGAAAACAAACGAACAAAACGTAGTGCACATTATGAACACTTGGGTCCTTTTCGCATGTGTGTTTCTTTCTGCTTTCTTTGCTCGTTTCGTGCACTCTTTTCTTTCGATTGCGACTGAACAAAGAGCGAAAAGAAAGTGCATGAAAAAGTTTTCTGTAAAAAACAAGACTTAATTTAACGAGCATGAAGGAACAAAATGAGGGCTGGTTTAATCAATTGAATCTGGGTCTTTGGTGAACATAATGGGCTGTGCGTTGTGTTCACTTCGTTGTCTTTCGCTTTCACGCTTTCACCCCAGTAGTTCATCGTTCCACTCATTCTTCGCTCACATTCCATTGTAACTAGAGCGAGAGAACAAGGAGAGCACACAAGGACACAGAGCAAGATGGGATGAGCACCGATAGATTTGTGATAACACACAGCACGAGTACCGATAGGCATACAGATAGAGAGAGAGAGAGAGCGAGAGAGAGAGAGAGAGAGAGAGAGAAAGAGAGATGCTTGCCCAAAGAACCAGGCGGGAAGGGTTTTCCGACGTTGAAATGCAGTTCCGGATCCTGCAGCCCAGCCCCAACAAGGGGCGTTGGGCCTTGCCGGTTGTGACTGGCCTGAGTATCCTAAGGCCGCGCAGCACACGTGTGGAGAGAGGGAACGAGGGAATGAGTAAGGGCGGTTGGCACGGAGGAAGAGGTGGAAAAAGGGAGAGAGGGAGAGAGGGAGGAGCAAGTGCTCTTGAAGAACGATGCCCGTTCATGGCATACACGCACGTCATAAGTCCAAGCCTGCCGCGCTTGTTGGGACTATCAATCTGAAGGGATTAAGGGTGCTGGTGGTACTTGCCAAGTCTCCGTGGATCGGCCAAGCTCTGCACCCGCCGGAGCCCAAAAAGCTGGAAGAACTCATCTCGCTGATGAGTGGGCTTCGGCCATCACTGTCCGGATCAAAGAGTGGCCCGCGCTTCATGATGTCGCTTGGCGTCCTTGGCTCACACAGGTGCAGCTTGGTGCTGTTGCAGGGATTGGGGAGTGAGTGGTTGTCATAGCAACTGAAACTGCTCAAGGAATCTTCGCTGGGGTGATGAGACCCCGTCTTTGGCGATCTGCCAAGAACTCGTCAGCGCGAAAAGGACATGCAGCTGCACGATGCCACGACAGCCTCGATCGTCAGTCGCACTCAAAATCGCGAGATTCCACTTCCAAGGCACTACTATACTATACTATACTATACTATACAGTAGTATACTATACTATACTATACTATACTATACTATACTACACCGCGCTACACTTTAGTATACTATACTAAATTACTAAATTATACCATACCATACAATACAATACAATACGGTATCTGTTTTCTACTTTACTATGCTAAACTATATTGTAACATATCATACTACACCATGGACTCTGTTATGTCCGCTTAGCTTCACAGTCAAGCAACTCTTCCCCTGCAGCCCACCATTCAGCCGGGATAGGCGACGAGTGTCTTGATTCACTGTCTGGCGGAGTACCTGCGTTGCAATGCCACGTCGACTCCGTGATCACAGGGAAGCTTCTCCGATCGGCCCTCGAGAAAGGATTCCAACCACTCTCCATTTCCCTGCTGTCCAAGCACTGCTGGAGAGTCACCATGCATGGCAGGGCACGAACAAGAAGCTCAAACACACAGTGTCGCATATGCTGTTGGCAGCAACAGGCTCGAGCCCAGCAAGAACCGAAGCAGTTTGATTTTGGTCCAGTACTCGGTTCTTGAATCTGACGATACAAATTCGCAGGCACTGGACCGCCAGACCACCATAGCGACAAGACACAAAGCCGCAAAGACTTGCTCCAAGCGATTTTGGCTTCACCACCCGACCGCCGCTCCAGGGTCGCACAGAAGAACCCATCCATACCGCGGCTCTGTGGCCTGCATCCCAACTTCCCGAAACTGCCTAACTGTTCGAACTCAAGAGGAAGAGCGCCTTGCATGTAGCGGCGGATGGCTCAGGTACAAGCCGAACTTCTCACAGAAGAAACGAATCTGCTGCGCCTCTGGCGCGGCCAGCACTTCATGTTCAATCACATTCAAAAGATGAGGTCGAAAGCATGGGTCGAGAAAGCCAGACGATCAAGCTCGCGAATCACGTCACTGTTCATTCTATGGCTGCAGCATTCTCTTCTTCAAGCACGCTGCAGGTGGCATACCTTCGCGAGGTGGAAGCACATGAAGTCTTTGCTCACTCCACAGAGGTGCCACTCCACAACATGTGCCAGCAGCCAGGCACCGGTGCAAAGGTTCAGGGACGAGCGATCTGCTCCTACGAAATCAATCCCTGCCACCGAGGTGCACGATCTTGCCGCTGTCCTGCTATCTGTGGGGTTCTGCTGCTGCTAGAAACCAATTTGGATTCTGTGTACACCCCTCCCAGTGGCTCGCGTCAAAACGAAACTGGAGGCCTTGACGTACTTCAGCGCGCCCTTTCACAGAGGTCCGCAAATCAAAGACGAAGACGACCAACAAAATGAATTTTACTCGAGCTCTTCTGGCAGAGCCATAAAAGTCGGCCCCGGCCTCGAAGATCTCTCGCTGCAAGGCCACCCACTTCCAGAGTCGATTGTCAGAGTAGGTCCTTGCAGACATGCTCACACATGCGAAGGACTGACTCTGCATAGATGTGTCGTGTGTTGCATAAGGTATCATCTCGGTCCCGGCATAAGACGACAACGGAGCTGTTTTCGCCGATCTCGCGGTGGGCTTGACTTGGCGATTCTTTGTACAAGCTACGCAGAGTAGGCGACTAAAGTGACTAAAGCTCGGCATTGGGCTTGTCAACATCTCATGGGAAGCATCCGCACTTGCGAGCGTCCTCATTGCCTCCCTGCATCACCTGCAAGCGTGATGTTTTGATATGTTTTGATCCTACCTTTTTGGGGTCCTACACAACCTCAGTGCAGGCCAGCCTTGACATTCGCATAGCCGTATTCGCATAAGAGCTGTGCTGCAAGCGCAGCTTGCCCTCCGTACATGCATGTGACGATGATCAGGGAATCCCTGGGACGATCCGCGATCCTCGGGTGAGCAGGACATGCTAGCCTTGCAAGAACAAAGACATGACTGCTGCCACAACACGTCGCATCCTTGAATTCCTCGCGGGCTCTTTTTAGGACAAGAGCGAAGCTTCCACAGCCGCAGCCCCCGTCCTCGAGATCAGAGCTGGCCTTGAAGAAGAGAGTGCCCAAGGACGCGTTGTACGCACCCGGCAGGACCTCGCTTCCGGGATCCTCAGGCTCACATTATGAATGCTATGTATGTAAGAACACATTTGTATATATATATATATACATATACATATGTGTGTGCTCGCATGCATGTGTACATGCTTGCTGTGTATCTATATCTATCTATCTATCGATCGATCCATCTACCTATCTATCGATCTATCATCATCTATATATATATATATGTGTGTGTGTGTATGTATGTATACACACACACATGCGTGATGTTTAAGCATCTCCATATAGGTGCACATCTACCTATATAGGGACACGCTATGAAACAGTCCTGCACGTCCAGCAAGAGGGCACTCGGATCTTCTTCCAGGAGTGCTTTGGCTGCTTGTGGTCCAATGAAGTTGGGTTCACCCACAACTCTTCTTGCTTCCTCAAGCTTGCTCAGGAAGCCCGACATCAGGGCTGGAAACGATGGCAAACTAGTCCCTGAGGTCACTTCCACAGTACTTGGGCCAGAGGCCACAGACACACGTGAGATCGCAAATCAATTGCATCACGTGCTGGTCCGGAACCTGCATTGAAACCTTCGCATCGCTGTTTTGTTGTCGTTGTGGCCGTTCATGCGGCTTGCTCCTCTCAGAGCCACCGAGGCATTGCTCACGCCGTCGGTCTAAGTATTGAGGAAGATGTTCGTGGTGGCACATGGTGTGAAACAGGCGAGGTTGCTTTGTGCGGATCTGTTCATGGCGAGTGCTTTTGAACACCACTGCTCAAGTCTTGGGCAACCACTGGGAGCTATCAGCAACCCCGTCAAGTTTTTTTGTCATTGGAGGTCCGCTTGCTGTTGCGCAAGTGCTGGTAATATCTAGTCAGCACTTGTGCCGTGCTGCCGACGTTGTCTCGCCGCATGGCCACCTGCACAGATCGAGTTCCAAGAAGTGCCGTCCCTGACTGGCAGCGCATGAATGAAACCCGAGTCGCTGTGGAACAGCCAGACGCGCCTGGAAAGGCAGGCTTGTTTTCGCCTCAACCAGGAGGCCAGTGGGCTGGCGCACCAACACTGTTGGCTCAGCCTCGGTCCAGAGGCCAACGTGCAAAGAAGACTGCAGGACTCAGGGTATAAAACAGGAAAAGATGAGCGAACAGATGAAAATGGAACAGAACAGAACAGGATAGAATAGCAGAATAGCATAGGAAAACATAAACAAAATGTGAAACGAAAATATTGGTACTTTGCAACTTCGCACCTGCTCCTTGTGGGCAGCCTCTCGCTTAGCAAAGACCTCTTGCAACTCCGTCTCCCTGGTATCCACCGGAAGGAGCACCAGCGACGGATCCTGCCAGGCAGCTAATCGCCGCTAGGCCTCCAAGAACCCTAAACCCTAAGTTCTAAACCCCTCTCCTTCTCCAGCTGCTCTCTGCCGAGCTTTACTTCAACCGCAGCCCGTGATGGCGCGGTCTGTGCGATCCTGGGCTCCGGAGGAGAAAGCTTGCAAAGGAAAGGACAAAACAACGTTGCAGCGGTAAGGCCGACGGTTGGACACTCGCTTGCTCCAAAAACCCGTCCCTGCCCAACTTTGCCCAAAGCCTCCGTGGAAAAAAAGCTAGCGCGGCCAACATCGTTGCTTCTTAACACGTCAGAACGTTGAGCCAAAATCTACACGATTCCGCGCACTTGGAGAATGTCGCGCAAAAAGTTGCCCGAGCGCTCCCTTTCCACGAAATCCTCCGGGCCAAGTCTGCAAATCGTGGAAATGAGGACCCAGTTTACAGGGCCAATTTTATGGAGCTCGTGTGGCAAAATGTTAGCCCTGCCGCCAGCTGTTTCCACAAAAACCTGCCTGCCGGGGCTTTAGACTCCGAAACCTTTGTTTGAAACCCGCTCGACACTTGGGTTAATATCCATTCTGTATCTTAGTAGTTAGTAGAACGTAACATCTCAGAGCACATCCCAGCGTTGATGGGAAGTTATGTAGTTGGGGGAAACGATGGAGCGACGCAGATATAATCAATAATGTATATCCAGCTACCGTGTAAAGGCATTCCTGGTTCAAAGCAAGACAGGCAACTTGGGATTCATGATGAGGGTCGCTTAATTGGCGAAATGCTGCATTCCTATTGCTTCTGATCTGTGTTTGTCCTCGTATATTCACACAGCACACGTCATGATGCTGCTTCCTGCGAACACCCCCAAACATACGCACCGGTAGCTGACTTGTATCCAGACCAGAAAGACGGTAAGTCAATGAGAGGGTGGAATCTGTCTGTGCTCGAAAACCACGATAGCATTCCGATCCCAGTCACCGAGCCAGCTTGGGATCCGCTCCCGCGCCTGCAAGCTGCAGTGCCTGGGAAGCCTCTCCCACAGTCTTGGCCGATTCCTCACAGCACCGAACTACCCCAAGGCTTGTGCTCAACCTAACTTGTCGTCCTCAATTCGTCCCAGCACATGCAATGCTTTCGCCCGCAGCGACAGCGCCGCAGCAGAAAGGTCATGGAGAGACGACGACTTCGCTCGTTGCGCGGCTTCCTGCTCCGAGTTACTCTCGTTGCGAGCACGGGTCAGCACACTCTAATTCGAGTGCCTCAGCCATCCGCAAAGTCGTCTCCCAAGCCGTCTGCGTGGGCTCTCTGACGCCACTCCTCAGAATTTGACTTTTCCTTGTGCCCTCGATCCGCTCCCTGCAAAAACTCCCAACACAGCCCAACTTGCAGCCAAGGCCTCTCAAGCTGCAAGGCCTCGGCACGAAGAGCTTCAAATGCAGCTCGAGCCTCCCCGGCAGCGTCTGCCTCCTGGGACAAGGAGTTTTGCGAAGGGCGGGGACCTCAAATGCACTCCCATGGTCGTGCTGGGTGCCCGCGTCCTGCTTGAACAATCTTTGAGCTCTTGTCGCAGACGTCAGGGCCGCGTTGCTTTTGCCTTCGTTCCACGATCATCTAGTGCGACTTGCGATGCCGTGAGTTGTGCCTGACGAGCACTTCAGAGCCAAGTAGCCCTGATGAAGTGAAACCTGGCAGGGGGCTCGGCATTCCTGTCTTTGCCTACGTCTGGGAACTTGGGTTCTGCCCCTGCTCTGCCTGTGCCGACACGAGCAGAGCCCGGGCTTGAGCTCCTCGCTCTCCAGCCTCAGAGACGCGGGCTTCTTGAGCCATCGCCACTGCTCAGGCCTGTATGATCCTGTATGGTTTGGTTCTTTTCAGCATGGCCACGAGCTCAGCCAGCGTCTGCGCACGCAACGCCATTTGTGCCGCGCTGCGCGGGTTCACGGCCTTGGGGATCGTGGATGGTCTACAGAGTTCCGATTGGTGCAGTACGCACGGCAAAGATGAGCAAAGCAGCGACAAGTGCCGCAGCCTTCTCGAGCCACGTGTCGACATCCTCGTTTCCGCACAGAAGGGGGCCGTGGGCCGAAACTTCTCTTCCGCAGCATGCAGCCAAGCTTCCTCGCGAACTGCCTCTGTCTCGACGGCGAGGCCGCCCATTGCGCTCAAGCATTGCTCGGGTCTAGTTTGAGCAACAGCTCCAACGAAACATGGTTGGCATTGCGCAGGTACAGTAGCACACCCATGACTGCCAGAAACCCTTGCTGCACAGTAAGGGGCAGTCCACTTCATGTCCGGGTTTCGTCGCAGGGCGCCAGTTTGCGAACAAGGAGCATCCACTAAGACCTCAGCCAGTGTAGCCATTCAAAATAAAGCGTTCCTGATTATGAATGTGCATATATATATATATGTAGATGTACATGTATGTATGTATGTATGTATGTATGCATGTATGTATGTATGTACGTATGTATGTATGTATTTTTGGCTCCCACTTGGCAACGTCCGCGGACACTGCATATATGTATGTGTGTATGTGTGAATGTATGTATAAATATAATTATATATATATATATATACATACATAAACATAAACATATACATACATACATACATACATACATACATGTACATATACATATACATGTTGGTCTACATACACATATACATATATGTCTGCATATGCATATGCATATGCACATACACCTAGACTCGGACCTTGACATACCTTTACACATACATATACAGGTACACATACATACACATACACATACATATCTATCTATCTATCTATCTATCTATCTAGTTATCCATCTATCTATCCACCTATCTATCTATCTACCTACCTTAGTGAGTGTGTGTGTGTGTGCGCGCGTGCGTGCGTATGCATGTATGTATGTATATATGTATGCATGCATGCACGTATGTATGTATGTATGTATGTATGTATGTACATATGTACGCATGTCTGTGTGCGCGTGTGTGTGCGTGTGTGTCGGTGTGCTTGTGGACATGAGGCATTATAGCTTGCGTATCGGGCAGTATACTCTGTCTTGACTGTCTGTGCATTGACAGTACAAGTACATTTTTCCCACCTTGGTACACTTCTCGATTTGTGAGTGTTGTACACGTACATAGTCTGCAGGGTTTCCTGGTTTCGGGCTCGCAACTCGGACAAGGGTGAAGACCACAAGGACACCAACTTACTTTACAAGACTGAGCACAAGGCCCAATCCATTTTCCCCCGGAGTCGGTGCAACTGCCTCATTCCAGGAGGAGTTGCACAGTGGTTGCCGTGCTCACTGCAACACGAAGACGAGTGGGAGGCGGATGAGACGGCGGTAGCAGGGTATAGTTGTGGATGTTGGCCTAACACAGGAAATAGTAGTCAAAGCCCGGCCGACGCCAAAAGTTCAGCCGAAGAGCAGCAGAAATTCTGGTTTCTCTATGTGCTCTTCGGTCGTTGCACAAGTTCATCATTCACTCCCGGACTTGCAGCTGAACGACTTCCCGAGTTAACAGCGGGGGCACTCCGAACCACCTCGTGACACCTCCAGTTTCCCAGTTCTGCCAGCTTCAAGTCCAAGACAGGTGACAGGTCTGCAGAACATAATCATTACGAGACGAAAGAAATGAAGCAGCATCCTACACCCCAGTTGGCGTCTGCAGTGAATCTTGCATAAAACGACAGGATGACATGCTCGACGCCAAGTGGACCTCCAGCTTTCAAAGAGCTGCACAGATGCTTCGATCGCGGGCATCACATATTCAGCTCGGCCGCGGGACAGAGCATATAACTTCTGAACATTCCCAGCACCCTGTGGCTAGAGATGGCACCGGCTTGCATACGTGAGCCACCTGCGTAACGGCAGAAACAGCAGAACAGAAACGAAGGAAGGCTGGGAGTGGGCGACTTTAAGACCCACGGGCCTCTCTGCACAAATTCTGCGGTAAGGTGCTTCCTGCAATGAATCGACTCCAGGAATCCCCTTTGCTGGGTGATCTTGATGAAAGAGTTTGAAAGAGTGAGAGCACCTTCTACTTGTGGGCCGGCCATGGATGTTCCGCAGGCATCTGGTGCTCAGTCTTGACGACTATCGCGCGAGATGCAAGTCGAAGTCCCGGCCGACCAGTGGGAGTCCCCACTGTGCAGGGCGAGCGAGCTCTGATGTCCCATCAGGGGAGCACCTCAAGAAACGATGGATTTTCAAAGTACATCGGCTCTCAACGCAAGTCACGCTAGCATGAAGAAACTGACTTCACACACCACGCCAACCTCGGCCAACGCGATGTCCACTCCTGAGCTAATAAAGCCAGCACAAGAGCGGCACTTTGGCGGCCTTTCCCATTAGCTCCCTTGGTACGAAGTCCGAGGCTTCCCGTATAGAAAACCATCTCATCCAACAGAATCCGAGCCATGCTTCCCGGGTCATCGAGATGCTGCAACAGCTCCTGACACGACATGCGGCACGAGGCAAAGAGATTCGGCGAGCGCGGCTATCAAGCCTGCGCCCCGATGCGCCGAAGCGAGAAGACGAGCTTCACCTGCATTCGAGAGTTCGTGCCGTTCGGCAGTCATGTATGAACCATTAACTTCCTAATCCTGCTGCCGGGCGGCAAGCTAAGGATGATGTATCCTCATGTTGGCGGCTCAACGGTGCGGAGTTGAGTTGTCTCACGCAGCCGTGAAAACCACGAGGCCCGCTTCCCTGCATGTCGCAGCCAACCATGCAGAACTTACTTCAGGCAAGGTGCCAGTGTTTCTCGTTCCTTGGATCAAATCATCCAAGTCACATGGTGGGACATCACTCGGTCATCCAACCAACTCACACTGCTAAAGCGACCTGTATGCGACCGGAACACTTCACACATATAGCTTGCTCTCAATAGTTCCTTGGTGCTGCAGACATGATGGGCAAGCGTTCTGCTGCCACTGCTGTAATGCAGAGCACTGGAAAAGAATGTTCCGAAGCTACAGTAAGTCATTTAGTGATATTCTCAAACAAAAACAACGAATCTTAAACAAAAGGACCGTGCATGTAGTCTAGGGAAGAAGCCCCAAACACACACCCCCCTCCGCTGGAAATCATCGATTCACTAAACATCTATTGGTAACTCCGTGGCAGCACATACGTTTTAAAAAAGCATGTACATAGAAATCTTCACAAATGGCGAGAGAACTCCATCTCTCTACCTACATGTGCGCAGATAGACAGACAGACAAACAGACAGGTCGTATATACACATATTGTTCCCTCTCGCTCTGCCGAGGCTGCCGTATGTATGTAAATGTATATGTATTTGTATGTATATATACATGTATATAGATAGATACGTATACAAGTATGTATGCATGCATGTGCGTATGCATGCATGCATGTATTTCTTGTATTTTGCATTTTTCTATGTATGTGTGTGTGTTTATTCGCTTGTATACAGATATTTTTTACATGTTGATATAGGCCTAGGTATGAAAGTATATGTATATGTATAGGAGTGCATACAGGTGCGAATCAACAGGCTGTAGTTAATGGGAAATGACTTACATGCCACGGCAGGTTTTCAACCAGTTATGGTGCTTTTACGCACCCTTGCGAGCAGGGCATAACGGATATTTAACGATGTCCATATATATATATATATACATACATATATATATATACATACATATATATATATATGTGATTCTGTGTCGCGTGTCGGATCCTCGTGATAGCCCCCCGTACCTGGGATGCTCGTGAGTGTGGCGACACTCACCTGAGGTAACTGGATGGGCCATGGTTTCGGTCTGCACCGCGCCCAGCTGGGGTTAAACACTAAAGCTGAAACCCACAACACCACCGCACCAAAGCACACCGCGGGGGGGGGAGAGGGAGGGGTTTAATAACCTACAAGTAAAACCAGCCACCACAGGGGGCGAGGGGGGTTAAGCAACCCACGTAAACAACCCCACCACCCACACCACAGGGGCGGGCCGGGGGAAGCATTATCGGGCGTGGGGGCGGGGGGGTAGGGGGGATACCATGGGTTGGGGGGGCTCGGGCGACGCTGCATCATATATACATGTATACATATGTATATATATATACATATGTATACATATGTATGTGTGTGTCTGTGCATATGCATACGTACATACATTCATTCATGCATTTTTACCACTCGCACTCGAGACATACATACATGTGTCTCTGTAGATATACAGTGTGTATGTATGTACATTATACATATCCACACACACATATCCATACATTTATATATGTATATATCTAATATAGTATGTGTATATACATATATATTATAATATATATTTTATAACAAAAAATATGTAATATATAATATATAATATGTAATATATCATATATAATATATAATATATAATATATAATATATAATATATAATATATAATATATAATACATAATATGATACATAATATATAATATATATAATATGTAATATATAATATATACTATGTAATATGTAATATGTAATATGTACTATATACTATGTAATATGTAATATGTAATATGTAATATGTAATATGTAATATATATATATATATATCTGTGTGTGTTGTGATATTTCTGTATTTGCGTACCCCCCACACACACACACAGAGACAGAGCCAGACAAACACAAACAGAGACAAACAGAGACACACACACACACGCGCGCGCGCGCAGAGTTTGTTCGTGTGTGTAATGTAAACACACGCGAACACATCGATTTGCAGTTGGCCAGCACTCTTAGTGCTGCAGTACTTTCCGGAAGGTGTCGAATGATCTGGGTGGTGGACAGGGCCGAGGGGATGAGATATCTTTTCGTGTGTAGCCTGAAGCGATGCATCTTCTGCAGCCTTAAACGTGCGAGTTCCACTAGGATTTCACCCCAAAGCAACGGTGTCACAGTCAACACGGTGCAAATTACAGTAAACCACCAGTGCGGGTACTACTGTGGTCGGCACACAAACAAAGTGTGAACCAGTGGGGAAGTAATCGTGCTCCCGGTCGCTCGATTGCAATTCAATGTGTATGGCAGACGCAGCGAAAGATCACCCCCGCTGTGTTTCACCTACTTTCTGCCCGCATTACTTACGAGGCGTGTGACTGTCACATCAAGCGGAAGCGAAACGTAGATATCGGAGGATCTTGCGCTAATGACGGCAAGGGGCCGCCGCTGAGACCATCCTTTCCGCGGACTCGTGCACTGGCTGGCTTCGGGCCTTCGGTGCTCGGGGTCTCGGATTGGTGTTGAGTCCAATCCTGAGGCGAGGCTGCAACGGAGACAGCCCCCTGGCCCTTTTTGAGTGAGTCTGCAGCCAAGACACTGAATCTGGAAGCGGACACGGCTCGCGTCAAAGGGCATTGGCGGCATCTCATACACCGCGCTCACGGCACGCAACCTGGCTCCCACTCTTCGCCGCTGCTTTCTTTGGCTGATAGAGGGGCCCTGTCCGGCGAAGCGGGCAGAGCGGAAGCGCGCCCCTTGAACCATGCGCGCTTTCACAGCGGTGCGGCCAAATGTGGCGCTCGTTGCCGGCGCGGTGATCACTTGCGCCGCGGTTTCAGACTCAGCAAGAATCTCCGGCTGTTCCGGCACGACGACAGTCTCAATGTAATCCTTCCCTGCGTCCGCTTCGATGACGATTGGTTTCTCGGGGCTGCAAGCTGCCTGCTGGTAGCTGGATTGCAACGGCACAACGGCCTTCGCTTTGCTGCCCAATCGGGGACCTCGGTGCCCCAGATATCAAGTGTTTCGGTGCCGATCAGCTTTGGAGGCCTGGCCTGAAGGTGCTCGGGCTCGGAAGGCACTGGCAAGCCTTGGAGGACGGGACATGGCAGGAGCGGGGTCGTTTCTCTTTCGATCCCGGCGACGATCCCAGGAAGAGCATCGAGCCAAGGCTTCGCAAAGCAGAGGCCACCAGAGGCTCGGGAGTAGCGCCCTTTCGGCAAAGAGCAACACGTATCTTTAACCCGTCTGATCCCATTTCTGACCATTGCCTGGCGGTATACGGCGGAAGGCACCGAACCTTGGCAGCTCTTTCTCGAATCTGCAGCTGGCTGAGTGCCGGGTGTCCGGGGCCGACACCTTTCAGTGGCTGCGACGCTTCCATGGCTCCTTTGCCACTCGCCACGAAAGTGCGGCATGGCCTTCAGCGGCAAGTCTCATCCGTAGATGTTTTCGGTGCTACGTGCACTAGGTACAGGCTCAGGACAGCACACATGGACAGCAACAGTGAACAACGCTGCAGCCAAGAACATGGCCAGCAAGGCCATGCCTTCGCAGTGCTCCAAAGTCCACAACTGCCTCTGAACTGCGCAAGTTCGAAGCCAGCCTGGAGGCCTGCGGCTCCCAGCCATGGGGCTCCTGCTGTGCAGCACGTGCAAGCTGCTCCCTCTTTTGGTGTCACTGTGCAGCTGAGCGCTCCACTCTCACTGAGAAATCCAGGTGTCGCGCAAGAAACTTTGAGCCGTATGCTGCAGGTCGAGAAGCCCCACAAGTACGAAAACTGCGGGACCTACTGTTTTTGTCAAAACCAAATCTCAACAGCCACAATCGCACGCTCCCCGCCTTTCGAAAGCGCCGCTTGGACTCAAACAGCTTTGTGTCGCGAACATCATGAAGATACACCTGATGGTGGCTATGCCACAGCTCAGTACGAGGCAAGGCAAGTTGCTTGAAGTATACACAGGGTCAGCTCGGAGTAAATGTTCCAGTTGCTACAAGTAGCGAGCAAAGCACACATCTCGAGGGTGCATCTATATCGAGCCTTCCATGAAAATTACATGTTACAAAAAACCTGCCGCAATGAGCCCGTTCGTTTTCTTCCACGTCTGACTGATCTGCAAGTTGGCGGTTCTCTGTCGTGGATGTTTGACATGCCACGAAAGCCGCGCAGAATTGGAATGATCTTCTGGTGAGCAGATAAGCATGAGCAGCGATATGGGTGGAGATTTTACGGCCAACACTGCGGGCTGTGAATGTACAAGGCGGATCAAATCCAAGGTATGTAAAACTTGCATGCGAGCCCACCACGATGAACTTGTTTCATGGCGGCAACACCCGAAAAAGACATCTATGACAAGACGTGCCTAGACGACCTAGAGCAATTGCATGGGCAGTGCCATGCCATCCGAATTTCTCAGAATTGCCTGCAAAGATCACTTGTCCCAAGTGTCTTCTGAATCTTTTGGTTTTCAACAAAGCCAGTACATCTAGAGCACACTAGGGCCGGAAAGCAAGAAGGTCGCAGAATTCTTGGAAGTCGAGCTTGCCGTCACAGTTTCTGTCTGCCAGCCGCCACAAGCCACCAACTTGTGCCTTGCCTCAGACATCCAGGGATTTAAGGGAACCTCAAAGAGATGAGACCGGCGTGGAGGAACGGGACACCCATGGAACGATTGGTTGCAAAAAAATGTGCTGGCATGCCGTGCTCTGACTTAGGAAACAGCATGAAGCCAAAATGTTGACTTGTCAAAACAGCCATGTATGAGTCATGCCTTAGCTTTCACAGCAAAGCGACTCATCCCCTGAACGGTCCTATGCACGAACTTGGCAAACTCCATGGGCGTGACCATTCCATTCTGCTTTGCGTCCAATTGCTTGAAAAGAGCCATGGGGGCCTGGCCCCGCACGCCCATTTTCAACTGGTAGATGGCGTTGTCCAAAGCACTCTGAATCTCATCTGCTGTGATTCTTCTCTTCTGTGTCCTTTGAACAGGTTGCTGTGTGTCCTTGGGCTGAGCTGCGGCCTTGGGATTCGGAACCTTCTTGCCCCCCATCTTGTTCACGAGTGAGAAGAACATGCGCTTGCATGCCTGGACCGGGTTCCCGCTACCACCGGGGTTCGTGGACGTGGAGGCCGTGGGAGAACCAGCCGGCCCAACTCCGGCTTCCTCCACCTGATTTTGGTAGGCCTGGCCGAAGCGCAGCGTGGCCAGCTCGGCCTCTTTGGCAACCTCGCGCTGGAACTCCGCGTTCTTCTTCACCTTGATCAGCGCCTGGTCCAAGTTATCCTGCGCCCGCTTCTTCTCCTCCAGTGCTGCCTTCACTGGATCCGCGCCGGAGCTCTCATGGCTCTGAGAACGTGAGGATCGAACGGGCCGGCTTTTGCTGCTCTTGCGCCTCTTCTTGGGCTTGCTCTGAACAACCTCTTGAACTTTGGCCGCTGCCTTCTCCACTTCTGCTTGCTGCTCGGCTACCAACTGCTTGGCTTTCTGCATTACGGAATGAGTGAAAGGAGGAATGACATCACGAGGATGCTTGGCAAAGGCGGTCATCAACGCCCTCTTGCTAGCTGCCTGGCGCTCCTCTACATTCGGCTCTCCTGAATCTATGCTGGGGTTATCGATGAATATGAACCGGTACGGATTTTGGCCAACAAGGTCGTAAATGTGCTTGAAGCGCCAATTCAACTCCACTTGTCTCTCGATCCACTGGTTTGCATCTTCCCTGCTTGCCAGATATCTGCTGGCAAAGGTGACGATGACATAAAGATTGAGAAGGCAGTCTGTTCCCCACAGAAATTCCGTGACATAAATCAGCCGCGCGATGGCATCGTCAGTGATACGTGCATTTCGCATAACGAAACACATGGCATCGACGCCGTTTACCGCCGACAGCGCAACGTCACGGATACTTGCAACAACCTTGTCCTGATCGATCTCGGTGTCTCCAAGTCCGATCGTGTCTAAAATGACAAAGGAATCGTCGGCTGATTCGAACCTCATGACCTCACGTGCTGCAACGTCACGCCCGGTTACTGTCGATGTCTCCTACAACTAGCATTAGATCGCGCTGGCTGCACAGACACCACAACCCGTCCAGACACCCTGCAACGAAACATGGCTGAGTAGCAACCAAGACACTGAATCCAGGTTCGTTACACTAGCTGTGTCATCTCCCGATGCAAAGGCTTCACAACCTGCCATCAGATTACCGATGGCACTCTTGCCAGCCCCTGTCATGCCAAACATCATCACCGTAAACCTCCCGCCGACAGGCAGTTGAGGTATATCATCTTCGGATTCGGAGTCATGCGCATCGTTCCCGTCTTCCACACCAAATGGAGGGATCAGCGATGGTCCATCCCCAAATCTGGGAGAATCCAAATCTGTTGGCTCTCCCGGAAGAAGTGGTGCATCTTGCCGGCAGCAATGTGCACCCATACTGGAGCTGCGACTACTCGAACACTGGGGCGAGGAACATTGCGGCACAGGCTACGGGCCACCTTGCAAGTGCGGAGCTTTACTGGGCTGCGTTCAGGACTTGCCGTAAATGCCAGGTCTGGGATTTGGATGAAAGTAAGTGGGCAATCATCGTCAACCCGCCGTCAGACTCTCGACGGCATGCGCTGGCGAGCAGAAGGAGTCGATGATCACTCGGGTCAATCTTGCAATGATTCATGGTATCATTGGTGTCATGCAAAAGCTACGACCGCAACCAACGCCCATCTGTGGCCGTGGCTTGCCCTCGATTGAGCATTGGCGGAGCAATGCAAAGCGCCTACCATGTTCTGATGCACGAAGCTTCCGAGCTGCCCTGCGTCGCCTTGCCACCGCTCCCAGCACAGTAGTCCATCACCATGTCTCCAGGCTTCGCATCGACCTCTTACCCCGTGGAACTCATTACACTTCCCAGCTGGCTGTTCCCTTGCACCACAGGCAGTGTAGCACTGAAACTACAAACAGCGAAAAATGCCCTTAAACGTCTTTTGGAGCCGGGCCTGGGCAGAAATGATCTGCGAAGACTCGTCTTGGATCTCGAAGTACCTGCCAGGCTTTTGCTAAACATCCTTGGCACCACCGTCATGTGATTCCTTGGCACAACCGATACTCGAGTCTTGCGGTGAAACCTAGCACCTGGCAGTTGCACAACGATGTTCGTCGGTGCACTGCCAGGCACGACCGCCTCCTCAGTCTGGCGGCAGCTCGTGAAAGCATGTTACTTCCAGCAAGTGACGCTCACTGATGAGCACCTCTCTTCGAAGGGATACCAATGGGCCGGCTACAAGCGGCATGTTCGATGTGGGTCCGCCTTTAGTCACTTCAGTTGCTCGAACGAAAAGAGAGGACGACGTCATCCGCAGCACCTTAGTCTGCGAAGTGTTGAACTCTGTCCCCACACGCCGCACACACTCTTTGACCCTGCAGATGGGTGTGGTAAGAAGCACGGAAAGAGACTGCCTTGAGCCTGAAGCCAATGAGAAGCTTGCGCAGAAAGTCGGAAAGGAAACTGGAGAGCGAGTATGACAAGCTGGGCCTACTCATGCCTGCCCTACCCCTCCCCACCCCCACCCTGATTCATGCTCGTTCTTCATGGCGCTGCTCCTAGCAGCATTACACCGTGCCGCTGGTGCGGGTTGAGCACTGCAGGGCTACGCAGGCAAACGGCGCTGCCCCTCGCCGACCAATCAATGTGACGATGTCTTGGCGTGCTGATCTATGGCATACTCCATTGTTCATGCAACAAGTAGGACAGAGAATGTGGCACGGCAGCCAGAAGGCTCATGCTCTGCAGCCACAGCTGGTCAAGATGGCTTTGCGAGGGCGTACATACACGCGCGCAACATGCTACAACAGGGAGAGAGGGTGCAAAGCTGCAGCAGCAAGGGGAAGTGAACGAACGTGGAACACATCCAGCACGACTCACCAACCCGCATAACTTCGATGCTGGCCACGGTCCGAAGGCTGGCTCGCCACCACGCTCATTTTCCGAAGTCTTGCCTCTATACTGGCAACGACTCAGCTTTTCCCAAGGTCACGATCCTACGTGCATCGGCACATGTCGCCTCACGACGCTCTGCCACCTCCGAGGGTGGCCGGGCCCTCACAACGTTCCAGTCGAAGCAACCATCATTGCGAAAGCCCTCGCCTCGGCTGCAGCTCCCGAAAAGCAGCTTGAGGCAAACTTTCACCAAGGCGACTGCGATGGTACAAACTCTTGAAGAGCCAGCGCATGTATCCTCGGTGTTGAGAACAACTGTCTCGAATTCGGCATCTGGCATCTAGAGCTCCCAAGTGCACTTCCACTGTGTCCGTCAACTCAATGGTACTGCCACTGTGGCTCGAGTATGGTACAGATGCTAAGCACTGCAATACATCCTCGACATGTTCAAAGCGAATTCGCCTGAAGAGTCACGGGCAACCTGCCACATGACACACGCATGACGAAGATATGAGCTTGATTTCTTCAACAAAACCAAACGTCTACAGTACCTCGACATAGCTGACACAGGGTCCATGAAACCGGCCAAGCCGCTGTAATCAGGATCTTCATCGAAAGCCAGATGCCGGGCCTCTTACCGTGAACCGCAGCGAATCATCCCGTGCAGCACTTCCCAATCACCTCATAGCAAAGCCCTGCCGGCAAGACGCATAGCTGAGGAATGTTGCGAACTCCTGTAGCATAGCACCACCAGCATGGGACGCGAGCTTGACTTACGCAGCTTCCTGCATGATGGACAGGCAGTGGCATGGCTCCTCTGGCAGGCCTTGGCATAGCTCCGTGAAGGTCATTTTGATCTTCATCTCCATGATGGCAGCATACCTTGCGAGTGGCAACTCACGCCACATTGAGGGCTCCCCCCCTTTTTGTGGCTGCAAAAATGCACTCGAAGCCTCGAAGCCGCCAAGGCGCTTGTCGTGCTTGCCCTCGGCTTTGATGCCTTGCCTCGGCGGCTCGGCTCTTGCACGCGCCAAGGCTGCCCTAACGCAAGAGGAGCCTAAGTGAGCCGTTTTTCGGGTGTGTGTACAACTGGTTTATGCATTCTACTATGCTTCCGGGGGGTACTCTCCTACGGTCACCCCTGCTTGTCCCATCATGCGCACAAAAGGTGGCACTAAGGCCCCCCCCTTAAGGGGGGGAGGGGTGCGGGGGGGGGGTCGGAAATAGGTGGCCCACCTATTTCGTTTTTTTTAAGGCTGAGGGGGTCGGACCACCCTCCCCTGAGTTCTTTGTGCATGTCAGTAGCGACAGGATTTCCAAGATTAGTGTATATGACGGTTGTAAACTCTACTATTTTTTTCAGTTGGGGCTAACGGGTTGATGAGCATAGTTGTGAAGCTATGCAGGGTAGCCTGCC